TTCAATAAAATAAATTCTATAGTTTGTTGGGCATTTTGTTTTGCATCTATTATTTTCTGACTAATATAAAAAAGTATGCTGATTTTTTTTTATTTATATTGATTATCTAGTTGGTAAATTGAGAATAAGAAAAATAGGTTTAGGTACACACTGTCAACTAAACAAGCACTAAAATGATTACAGAATATTTAAAACTGAAGTTTAGACCAAGAATTATTTATGATGTGGGGAGGAATCGAAAACCCTTACCTATTTTTGTCTCTTTATCTCTTATATCTAGATTCTTGCATGTACGTCTGTGGGCTTGAAGGTCCTGGATTCGAAGTCTAAGAAAAGCAAAATATAATTTAAAAAAAAAACAAAGAAATCTGTAGTAGCAGGCCAAAAAGTGATTTTTTGATACATAAGTACATGTATACATATAATAAAATTGTAACTAAGCTGAATCTGTACATTAGATATTTTTTGGAAAATCTAATTGAAATAGACATTATTATCGATACAGAGGCCGAATCTATAGTTTTTAGAATTTTTGTCTGTCTGTCTGTCTGTTACCGCATCATGGAAAAATCACTGGAAGGATGTTGATGAAATTCGGTATGATGATAGCTGGTTATCCGGGTCAACATATAGGATACTTTTTACCGCGCGAAAATATCTCATTTCTGAGAAAAAATACGAAAACTGCAATGTAAGAGTAAACTAATATGTAGAACCTATGAATTTGGTTTTTGGTCATCTGAATGCGAGCGGAGCCGCGGGCAATGCTAGTTTACATATATAAAAACATTTCAGTATAATATATAACATTTTCTTACTCTTAAACGATCCGTTGCCTACAGAAGATGTGTAAAGTTAAAACAAAAAACCAAACACTAAGCCCTTCGTAATTTCTTTATACAATATTAAGACAATAAAACGCGGTTTAAGAGAAAAACTGTTAAAGGAATCAGCGGAATTGTAACGATAAACAGAAAGTAAACGTCCTAAGAGATATTTATCGGTAAAATATTCCTCCACAAGGCAGTGCGAGGGGTGGGGCGATCATAAAATAGAAGGAATGCCTTTCTTTGCCTCCACAGTCTAAGTTGTAGCCTCCAGTTTTACATAATGAGATGATTCTGAACTGTAAAAAGGGTACAGTTGATTTTAAATGCGGAATTTTATCGGTTAAATTGCTAATAATTTTGAGTTTTGCTTCGATGTCAGAAAATGAAAGATTTTTTCTTTTTATACAGGAAGAATATTAAGGATTTTTATTCCTTTTTTTCAAATTCGTTGAAGGCAAGCATTTCTTTGTATTCAATAAAGCGTATCTCACCAATACAATAAAATACAATCAAAAGCATCCGTACCTACGAGTACACACAATAACCAACTATATTAAAATAAAATATGTGAGCAGTGCATTATAACGAAATATATTTATGTTCAATTTCCTATATTGGATCGAGATAATCTTTGTTGACATTGTAAAAATATTAAGTTTTGCAAAATAGTAGAAAACAGCAATATTTTTTTATAAAACGTTTATTACAGACGTATTAATTACGTTCAGATTAATTGATGCCCAAGACCTAAACTAAACTATTATTAAGACAATATTATATATATATATATATATATATATTTATATTATATTTCACCTAAACTTAGAATGCTAGCGCTCACTGAAAATATTTTCCTGATTGCTAAAGAAAATTTCACATTATGTTTCTCCACTAGAGCTCGAAGAGAATAACGTTATAAAATCTCTTGAGATGCTGATTTCCTCGAGACATTTTTTATCTGCAAGATATTAAAATTCTAATATTACAGATGGTGTTGTCAGGATTGCTCTAATTCATTTTTAAGCAGTTTTATTAATTTAGTATTATTATTTCGAATGACTTATAAGCCACAGAACAAAGAAATAAATTGAATTATATCGAATAAGTGCGTTAAGTAATTCTAGAATATTCAAGTATATATATCTTAGACCTATGCTTAATTATTTGTATAACAGAAATATATATTTTTATATCCTTTTTTTTACGTTGTGAAATTCATTTACCTACTCATAACACCCTGTGTACAACATGTGGTAATGTCGACTCACCAGCTAGAAAAGTCAGTACCCACTAAAACCAAACAGAACTTCCCCCGTCGTAATGGAACGTTGCAGGATCGCTTACGCAGTCAACCACGATACCGCGACGGTAAGTCTGCCGAAGCAGACCACAACAACCAAGGGGTTGCTCCCATAGTCCATTTTGCTGTCAGATTTCTCATTCATTCAGACTGATTCAGCAGCAGAAGCAACCCGCATGGTACACCGCCCACTAAGGGGGACCGCCTCCCAATGTGTCTTTTGGCTACATGCCCGGCTGAACTTAAATTATTATAACGTATACCATACTTTTTACCGTTTGCAACTTATATACCATATCATTGCTCTTATACTACGGTTTCACAATAATCTAATCTAGATTTGTAAAGGTTTTTTTACAGGACAGCGGATTGTAAGGGTTTCTGTGTTTAAATAAATTGGGTTAAAATAAAAAACTTACGAGAATCCGTGCCGTGAAATGAATGCCGTATTCCGATAAAATGCAGACGATAAAAAGAATAAATAAATAAAAAAAACAAAAAACAAATAATGGGAGAATAAAAAATATGCATACATAATACAAAAAAATATATAAAAAGAACAATGGCATTGAACTTTGTACAAATATCTGCTACGTTTCGACGTTAGTAACGGTGTATGTGTCTTCAGCTGTTTCTAACGTCCCATTGCTGGGCACGGGCCTCCCTTCAATACGAGGCAGATCAGGCCATACGCTGGCCAAGTGCGGATTGGCGGACTACACAATTACACATGTATTTTAAAAAATACTAATTTCTCTCAGACATGCAGGTTTCCTCGCGATGTGTTTCTTCACTGTAAGACAAGTGGTAATCATGTTGGGAATGATTCGCACATGAAAATATCAGAGGAGCGAGACCCAGGATTTGAACCCGCTTCAGTCGATTTCCCAAGCGAACGCGTTACCACTGGGCTACCACTGCCGTAGCATGAGCAATAAACCCAAAATGAATTACCATTCGACGAAATATCTTTTAAATGAAAAAAAAAAGAATTCTTGAAGAATTGTTTAACAAATCGTTTTTCAATAAATTGTTGTTCGACGTTAGTCGTCTGTCTTTATATTAAGTATGAAACTTTCGAATTATTTTAGATACAATTAAAGTGATGTCCTCCTGACCAATTTCGGCCACGGTGGCCAAGTTCACTAGCCAACTGCGCAGGAGATATTATACTTTATAGTGCACAAGTGTGCACGCAAACACAAGGGCGCACTCTATTTCTTCCACTCTCAAATTCCAATGGATGGTATGGCAGCTGACATAACTCTATTAGTGCACCATAAATTATGTACTTTTCGAATTTACTAGAAGAATAACTGATAGACGAACAGACAGGCGCCAATCAGTATTAGTCATGTACATTCATACCTTAGCCGTAAAAGGTGATGAGAATCATTAAATTTATTTCTTTTTATTAAAAATGATAATATGGACAGACTTCAAAATTATTTAAAAATACTCGTAATAATTTTACCCTTTAGGTTTGATTTTTTTTCCAATCTCCAACGTTATTTCTCCATAAACGTGACATTGGCGATATAATTTGAGCTAAAAGTACGCATTGAAGGCATTAAATAACAAATTGAGTTGATTTTTAACCGACTTTCAAATAGAAGGAGGTTCTCAATTCGTCGTTCTCGTTCGTTTTTTATGTAGGTATGCTCACCGATTATTCGAAGACGCCTGAACCGATTTGGAAAATTCTTTTTTTTATTTCAAAGGGTATACATCCCAGGTAATTTGATCGAAATGGGTCAAGCAGTTTAAAAAAAATCTACATGAATTATTTTTAAATAAATGGCTTAATCGAATATGTTATTAAAAACCTTTCTTCTTAGAAATTACCTGCTTATTACGTCTACACTAAAAATGGAAAAATATTAACTTTTATGGTGCCAGGCACCGACTTCGAAAATATCTGATTAGGTATCTATTCTTAATAAAATATCCCATATATAAATAATGTAATATGTTTAGTAATTTTTTACTTTTTAAGGCCTGGAAGTCGGTTATTATTTAAGTTTTTTTTATTTAAAAGGAGACACTGAAGGCGAATATATTACGTAAATACACGAAAAAAATGCATGCGAATTAAACAGATTCTCCTTGAAGTCATTCAAAAATATACATAATACATATTAATGAACAAATATTTCTATTTCTAAATTGTTCTTCTCTTCCTTTCAAAAGCATTCTTGGTTCTGACTACATTTTTACCATAAAAGTGAACGTTAACGAGCTGCTATTTTATCTTTTGAATATTCTTTAAAGGAAATAAACATTGTTTCTATCAGCAACGAATAATAAAAGAACAAAGCACCCCGACAGGTTCAATTTATAATATAAAATGTGGAGTTGAAACCGGATGTTAACAATTTCTGTGAGAGAAGATAAACTAAGAGTAGCGCGTACTATGATGTATGAACATTTTAGCTCATAAATTTTTAATATCGTATTAGGTACGATATTCTTTAAGTTACTTTTTCGTTTTCGAAGTAAGGAGTGAGAAAATTGAACTACTGTCTATGCTAATCTTTCCAATTCTGGTGCAAGGAGGAAGGAAATTTGCTTTATATATACCTTTATACATATATATACACCTATTATTACGGTGTGTTGAAATAATATGGATTTATTAAATAAATTTTATAGTTTGACATGAATATTAAGCGTAGATTTGTTTTTCAAATGAATAAATTTAAATGATAAGCATTTTCCTAGAGATAATTGTATTTTTAAAGAGTAGGTATATATATACGTACACTGTAGATATTTTGTCTGTGCCTTTTTTGAGTTTTAGTTTTTTTTTCGTAATTTCTTTTTGGTTTTGGAAATTTTGAAAGTTTTAGTAGGTACCTATAAATATTTCATAATGGCAATTCTTCGGAGCTTTGAGGACATTTGTGCTGCAAGTTAGTGATGCGTTCGCAGGCCTTCTTTCTATGGAATGCTGGCGTTTGTGGTGAAGGTTCCCTATTGCCTTTTCGTCTCTCTGCAATCTCTCTATTGGAACATTTCTAAATATATGTAAGTACCACACATTGGATTTATATTAGCTTTATAAGCTTTATATTGACTTCAGATTACATCAACAAATATTATCATTGTGTAATATGTAATAAAGGTAACTTGCACCAAATTCTTAATTTGGATCAATCCATTCAAATCAATTTTCTTGCCAATATCATTATAACTAATCTCCTAAATAAACATAGCAAATTGAAATTTGACATTTGCTAAACATATAAGACATTTTATTAAAAAATATTTCAAAAAATATGTGTAAAGAGATAACATTTTATTAAAACTACATTATGGTGATAACTACCTTGGTGGTGTAGTGTCTAGCATGTACGGTTGCACATCCGGAGGTCCTGGGTTCTAGTCTCGGTTCGGGCCAAGTTTAGTTATTGAGTCTTTTTGCATAATAAGCCCCAGTGACAACCCGGAGTTGGGAAGTTCGCGGTGTTTCACCACCGTGGTACGGAGAACACGTAAAACCATCGGTTCTGCGCCTTAACTCGTTTGAGTCGCGTAGTTATCCCACAGGAATATGCGAAAGGCAGGAATAGAGTGCTCTTGTGTCTGCGCGCGCCCTTGTGTACTATAATATCTCCTGCACAGATGAGTCTCAATGAGATTGGCCACCGTATATATTATTATTATCATTATTATGGTGATAAAAAAACAACAAACATTTTCCGTAAAGGAATTTTCATACAAAATTCCGTCCCCGTCCCCTTTAATGTGTAACAAATATTTGTTTTTCCGGGAAATAATATGTTTTAAGAATCCAAATAACAAACAAACGTTTTTTAAAATCCGAAGAAAAATTCAAATGAGCATTTTAATAAGCAAATAATTGTTAAGCTTTTTTATACATAAAAGCTTCCTACGCTTTGATGCCGTAATATAATACTTAAACATGGCTTTACGAGATTTACAAAAGTACAGTGTCGCTAAAATAGTCATATTATATACTTAATTTTTTTTTGGTTTTCCTTTTACTTCTTAGGTTCGTGCAGTATTAATTACACTATGGTGATACTTACTACTCTACGACTACCTCGGTGGTGTAGTGGCTAGAATGTACGGCACATACGGAGGTTCTGGGTTCTAGTCCCGAGTCGGGCCAAGTTTAGTTATTATGTCTTTCTACTTAGTAAGCCTCAGTAACAGTATTTATGCGTAGTTTATTCACAGAACATATCGAGAAATTTAACAACAAATATGTAAATTATCGTTCATTTACTAATCTTTTTTGACATAATCTTTTCAATTACAAATGGCTAAAGCGGAGAATTGTTATTTTATTTATTTATTTATTTATGTACCATAAAATATACGTTATACAAAATAAAATAACAAAATGTTGACAAAGGATAACTTATCTCTTTAAGAGATTTCTTCCAGAAACCCTTCAGAAGTGAGAAAATAAGTTAAAATAGTGCGGAGTAGGTACAGTACAGCATTGAATGGAATTGTCTTAATATTAAAATACATATATTAACTAAATATTATGATTATACAAATATATATATATTCACATACATATATATATACATACATACATACAAACATATATACTTACATATAAATACATACTAATCTACAATAATTTATGTCTGATTTGATAAATAGTATTGTTTAATTCTAAACTTAAATGTTGAGAATGAGGGATCATCTTTGAAAATATAATCAGGCAGTGAATTCCACAAACTTGCTGCCGTAACAGAAAAAGATTTTTTTATAGAATGTAGTATTGTAGTGAGGAACCACTAATTTGGGCAAATTGACACAAGAACGCACTGGTCTGCATCTAGGGGACACTAATGTGAAGCGTTCACTTAAATAAGAAGGTGTAGAAGTCTTCAAAATATTGTAAAGCACACATAATACACGAACGTTTCGGCGAAAACGAATGGGGAGCCACTTCAGTTGCCGTCGGAAAATACTTATATGATCAAATTTGTGCAATCCATATATAAAACGGATGCACAAATTCTGAAGGCGATCTAGCTTGTCGAGTAGCTCCTCGGTTGCATCAAGATAGCAGACGTCGGCATATTCGAGTAGAGGGATTAGCAGTGATTGAGCTAGGGTAATTTTAGTTTGAAACGGAAGAAAATTCTGTAAACGTCTCAAGGAATGAAGTGAATAATGTACGCGCTTACTGACCTCGTTGACATGCGCAGCCCAGGACAGGTTGCAGTCGATTATTAAACCTAAGTTTTTACACGTGTCTGAGATATTGATGCAAGTGTTATCGTAGATGATGTCAGGCAGATTGTTGAAGTCGATTTTGTTCCGCAACTGCTTACTACCAATGATCATGGCCTGAGACTTTATTGGATTGACAAGGAGTCCGAAAGACTTTGCCCAATCTTTGATTCTTGCCAAATCAAGGTTTATCCTGTCTATTTCAGACGCTAAGTCCCCGACCAAAGCATGTCTATAAAGTTGCAGATCATCCGCATATAGGTGGTAGTAAGAAGAGAGTACCTGTGGGAGTTGGTTAATAAAAATTGAAAAAAGCAATGGCGATAACACACCACCCTGGGGGACGCCTGCGAAGAGATTGGACCACTCTGAGATAGTCTCGTCGCAGTAGATTCTCTGCTGGCGATCATAAAGATATGATTTAAACCAATCAATCACAGAAGACGAGAAGTTAAGGGAGGCAAGGATAGAAAGTAAAACATCGAAGTCCACTGAGTTAAAGGCATTACTAAAATCAAGCAAAATAAGAATAGTCACTTTCTTATTATCCATGGCGAAACGAATATCGTCAGTGACTTTTAGCAAAGCGGAAGTCGTACTGTGCGAAGGACGGAAGCCAGACTGATAAGCATTTAATAGGTTATTTCGTTATAAGTACTGACACATCTGCTTAGATACTAAGCCTTCAAAAATTTTCGACAAAATGGGAAGAATTGAGATAGGACGAAACTGTGAGGGAACAATAGGATTGGGAGATTTAGGTAAGGGGATAACATGTGCTAACTTCCAAGCCGCGGGAAATGAGCTAGAAGACAATGAAAAATTAAAAATGTGAGTTAATATATGGCAGATGTGATCAACTGTTACAAGCAGCATATCACGACTAATTTCATCACTCCCAACGGCTTTAGAAGTAGTAGAAAGAATGCCTCTCTTAACATCGTCCTCTGAGATCTCTTGAAAAACAAAAGGGTCACGGTTAGGTTGGTGAGTCATAGCAAGTTGATTAATGGTTAACGTCTTCTCGATATCAGAAATTTGAACAGGCGGAGTTGAAAAATGTTGATTTAAGCAGTTGACATTGACGGACACAAGAGACAAATGTTGTGATTTACCCACACCTAGCGACTTAAAAAACCTCCAAGTTTGAGCCGGTGTGCAATGTAAGATACATGAGTGGATATGGCGGCGCTTAGCATCTCTGCACATCCTATTACAGAGATTACGCAATTTTTTATAGGCTGCAAAATTAGACTCAGTAGGATATCGCTTATATCTGTTCTTAGCTTTATTGCGTTTCGCCATTATTTTTTTGATTGTTGTAGTTAGCCAAGGCGCTGGCAAGTGCTTTACTCTGATTGGAATAGTGGGAGCGTGAATGTCAAATAATTGTATGATCTTGGAATTTAGTATTTGCAATTTTTCGTCTATGTTTGTGACATTGTATAATAAGGACCAATCTATGTTGACCAGGTCAGAGTAAAATTTCTCGTAATCGATATTTTTGAGATTACGCCTCCAGATTATCTTGGCTTTACGCCTAAGGAGTGACAAATTGTAACTGATGTATATGAGATCGTGATAGGAGAAAGGAGCAGTGAGTTGGCCGAAAGCAAGGATATTTTTAGGATTAGATACAATTATAAGATCGATGAGAGAAGGGTTAGAGATAGGAGAAAAATGGGTTTCAGTAAGAGGAAGTATAGTCATATTTAGAGATTCTATTAAGGATTGGAGCTTATGTGATCGAGTATCTTGCTTGAGAAGACACGTATTAAGATCGCCCATTAGAATGGTATGCTCATAAGAAGGTGTAAGAGATTCAAGAAGAGATTCCAACGTGCTAAAATAGTTAACGTTTACAGAGGGACTATAAAGTACACCAAGAAGAACTTTGGAGTGATGAGAAATAATTTCAAGAAAAAGGAATTCAAGGTTACAGTCATCAGTATTAGGGGATTGTTTTATTATGTTGTAATAGATGTTACTTTTGAGATATATGCAAACACCTCCTCCTCTTTTACAAGTGCGATCGTTCCTAATGAGGTTGAAATTAGGAAGAGAGAAAAGGGATGATGAAAGGGACGGTTTCAGCCAAGATTCGGAAACTAAGATACCATCTATTTCAACGTTGCAAAAAGATGCCTGGAGATCAGAGTAATGAGCCGGAATACTTTGTGCGTTTATATGAACCAAGTTCAAAGAATTAGGATTTTTATTAAATATGCTATTAAGTTTGAAATCAAGACGCCCGGACTCGCTATCACAGGAAGCCAAACTAGAAGCACTAAGGAAGTCTTCATTTGAAGAACAAGAGAAGTAATCGTCGTCAAAGTTAAGAATACAATCACAATCAGACATAATAAATAAATAATATTAAATTAATTAAAAAAAATAAATAAGTTCAATAATAGTAATAATAATAAGCTAATTAGAAAATAAATAAATTTTTAAAAGTATATCAAATTTTAAAAATAGATAAAAATATTTTTGTTTTACAATATACTTAAAACTAAAATTAATAACAACAAAAAATGTATACTTTACAAAACTTAAACATAATAATTATCCTACATTAGCTGGCCTAACTTGTTTTTAACAAAACATCATAACAAAATAAAAATAAGAAAAATATATGAGAACAAATATTTTAAGAATTTAGGCCATGTCATGTGATACATGTTGTACAGTGTACTGCAAGTATCCGAATGCACGATAATGACAGCTGAGGAAAACATTACAATATAAAAATATGCACATAACTGGTTACCGCTACTGTTGTTCGTAATTGGTAAAAATTATAACAAGACTACTCAAGAAAAAAAAGTGAAACCTGATATATAATTATTCAACATAATCATTCACGTAACCATTAAAAAAAACACTTAATGGAGATTTTATAATGAATATTCTAAGAGAGTGTACATAGAACTAATAACCTAATGATGTGAAAACTTACAAGTACGGAGGCCAATGGAACACTAGTATCACTTCACTATATTTTTACCGGGTCTTCAGGATCTAGATGGTTTCGGATCTTGTGATGTAGTCGCAAGAGGATATTTAGCTATCAATGAATGCAGTTCAGCAAGTGATGCAACTTTCTTGCGGCTTTTATCTGGCAGCGCAATGGTGATTGAACCTTCATGTGACCAACAATGTTTCATCCCAAAATGTTTTCTGGCAGCGACGAAAATTTCCTGCCTTGATTTCGTCAGAAACTCTGATAAGGTTATTCCGGAGCCCTTAAGAGCAGTCTTGGAGTTCCATATTAAGTGCCTGGATTTTAAGTTAGTGAAGCGAACTAAAATTGGTCTAGGTCTGTCTTTCTTTGTCCCGAGGCGATGGGAAAAGTCAATACTCGATGTATCAAAGTCAGCTAAATTCATCTTCTCAGCAATCACAGTAAGGACTTTACTCTCAGTCTGCTCATCAGAATCTTCAGGAAGCCCATGAAAGAGCAGGACCTTTCTTCGTGACAGCATTTCATGCCTATCAAATCCAGCAGTGAGCAACTGGAGCTGTTGACGGAGCATAGATAAGGATTTCCACATTAAGTCCTTGAAGACCGTGTAATCAGCGGCTAGCGCAAAAATGTCACTTCCAGTGCTTGTGTTTTTAGTAGTAGTCTGACTTTGGACAAGAGACTTTTCAAAAACACTCATTCGAGACTCAAATAAAGCAACAATATCTTCCATGTTTTTTGACAGTTGAGTGTGTAGATCCATGGTATTGAAGCTGATTATTATGTGAAGCTATCATATAATAAAGTTCTTGACAATTATTGTATATTGCATCGTGTATATTATATATATATATATATATATATATATATATATATATATATATATATATATATAAATATCAGGCGCATGATATGATAGTGTATATATATATATATATATATATATACACTATCATATCATGCGCCTGATATTTGTCCCATTGAGCTTGTTTGGGATAAACTCGATAGAAGGGTGAAAATCGATCTCCTACGAGCTCAGAACATTTGTGGGAACGATTAGAGAGCGAATAGAACAAGTTCGGTGAAAATTATTATAAAAAATTAATTAATAGAATGCCTAGAATATGCGACAAAAGGAAAAGGTAGATACATCGATGAAGCTAAAATTTAATTTAATTTTCATATTGTATGTTAAATTTTTAAGTTAGTTTTTATTGCATTTTTGATTTTATATCAATACAAATATATTTAGATGGCTTTATTTTGTTTTATTTGATTTTACCTTGTTGCTTCCAAACTTTTGGACGGTAGTGTATATATATATGAGCCCATTCATATCAGCAAAATAAGACATGGTATGCTATTTAAAATTTAAAGACAGCAAAAAGTACTTATATTTTTTCAATTAAATAAAGCCAATTTTAGCCAGTTTACACTACAACGAATCATATTTTAATATTATAGATATAAAATATACACAAGCAATTGCTTTGGGGACTACCTACTAAAAATGTCTTGAAAATAAGACGTTGAATTTGGTAGTAGTCAAATATTGTACAAACATTTATGATGTACTAGCATTGCCCGCGGCTCCGCCCGCGTTCAGATGTCCAAAAACCAAATTCTTATGTTTTACATATTAGTATACTCTTACAATGCAGTTTTTGTATTTTTTCTCTTAAATGAGATATTTTCGCGCGGTAAAAAGTATCCTATATGTTGGTTGACCCGGATAACCAGCTATCATCATACCAAATTTCATCAAAATCCGTCCAGTGGTTTTTCTGTGATGCGGTAACAGACAGACAGACAGACAAAAATTCTAAAAACTATATATTCGGCCTCTGTGTCGATAATATTGTTTATTTCAATAAGATTTTCCAAAATATATTTTATGTTCAGATTCGGCTTAGTTACAATTTTATTATATGTATAGATTTGTAGAGACTTATGTACATTGTACGTAAGTTGCAAAATACATATAGTAATACGTATAGTATTTATAAGCTATCAGCAACTTACACTCGCTTTACTCAGGTGCATCCCGAGCATTAACAAAGAAGTAAAACAACGAAAAAAACTTTTTTTAGACCAGAAATATTCGTGGGCGTGCGCAGTACAACTCATCAAAGTTTCACCACAATCGGATGAGAGGATAACAAAGAAACATTTATTTTAGATAGAAAAGTGTTTTTAAGATCTACACTTGCATAAAATGATGACCAGAATTTATAATTAAAAATGTTATATTACGAATTACAACCATATTAAAATAATTAATTTGATGAAATTGTATGTTCATTATAAACTTTAAACTATTTTTTTATAACAAAGAATAACTTAAAGCGCAGAGAAACATCCATATTTCATTAAGAATTGTTTTAGTATTATTTCATAATACGATATATCAATATGTGTATATAGTTTACAATGAAATCAATCTTTGTCGGCCAGTTTATTTAAGTCAAAAAATACACAAAATAGACAAAATAAACTATTTTTTATTTCCTATCCTATAAACAACAAATAGATTTTGTAGTATTCACTATACTACAGTAAATACTACAAAGCTTATTTATTGTCTCGAGCCTCTCACAATAACAAATGACCTAGTTTTATTTTTGTTTAATATAGGTATGTATGTAATTCATTAAATTATCTTTTTAAATTTAATATTAACTATTAAAAACGAGTAAAGAAAACTGAGGACTGAAGATTCTGTATAATATAGTGTCTAATTAGAAAATTACTATAATGAGAAGGAACCTCTTCAACATTGCTAAGTCGATCGTCAAGTCACTCAAGTGCTCTACCACTACTTTCTACATTAAACATGTACCTGAGGCGATAATCGACCCACATCTTTTATTTCATTTTTCATTAGGTGAATTTGCAAAAAATAATAATAAGTATTTATACTAACAAGATATATTTAAACTATAAAAGAGCTAAGGATAAAATTGCACTCTAAAAATATTTTTGTTTTAATACAAAAGTCCTCTACAGAGCGCCATATTGAATTTAGTGTAACGTCATATGGCCTATAACCAGCACAAGACGATCGACAATCAATACTCTATTGTCCAATTATGATAAGTACCTTAGAAGTTATCTTGATGCTGATTGATGAACATATATACATACATAGCTTGCTGGAATGATAATCCTCTGTATTGGGTAAAAATAATAGCTTTAACTTGAGCTTATTCAATAGTTACAGTGCTAAAAACTAACCTGTTACTCTCGCCCAAATCTTAGATCCGCTGACGAAAGTCTTGTTTAAATTGATGAAGCAGTTCTTCTTCTACGTTTTATTCCCCGGCATCCGGTATCAACTAAATTGATTGTAATCGATTTAGCCATAAAAAAACACGAAAAAAATGCTATTTTTGACCTTAATATCGTATATGTTACCACAATAAAACCATTAAATTAAGTACTTCTATTTCATCAAAATCATATTGCAACTATGTATGTAATATATCACTGTATGGTGTCAAACCCGGATTCACTTAGAGACAGTGACACTACCATAATAAAAGTAGCGACCAAATCTTTTGGAAACAATCTCTTTGAAAATAGACTGTGAAACTCCCTGAAAATTGTTATAAATTCACGCGATAACATAATATTTAATGGAAGCACCCATTAAGTCGTGACCACAAAGTTCGCGATGTTAAGCTATCTCGACTCACACTGGAAAATGTTACTAAATTATAAAACGCTAAAGTACTGTAAAGTATCAAACTTAATGGGTGCGTAGTTAAAACTTGACAGTCGTATAGTCAATGGGAGTAAGAGACCTAAATTATGTTGATTTACATTGAATGCTATAACTTTATTTAATTTTTATAGTAAAATAGGGTGGTTTCACCTGTTTTCGGCCATTTAAACAAACGTATGACTACGAAACTATTTTTTTCGATGATACTAAGGTCGCAGATAAGTTTTCCAAATATTTTCGAACTCAAAAGATAATGTAGTTTTGATATTTGTAGCCCCTTTACTTGACAATGTCATATTAAAATTACTAGAAACTAAAATCTCTGAAATTTGCTATTTAGTCTGTTTTCGGCCACTAAATTTGGTTTCCGGCCATTAATTTGTTTAGTTCTCGGCCCCCATTTAACAATTTGAAAAAATTATCTCTATTTGTTCTTGAATAAGATTTATACTACAGTAAAACGAAATAATACATACGAATCAACAATTTTAATTAAATTTTCACACTATAACAATGTTTTTAGGAACATTTTTGTACTATAACAGTAGATCTTAAATTATATAAAAAAAAGAAAATAATAATATGGAAAAAAATATAGATGATCACGAATTTAATATTTTGAATTACGTAATCAAAAAATATCAAATTCGTGATCATCCTCATCTTCTTCATAAATATCGTATCTCTTAAAAGTTTCATCGCTGGGAATGGTTTTAGTTACATCTATAGCTGTTTCACTTTTATGAGACATTTCTTTATCAATCTTATCTTCACTTATTTTATTTATTTCTTTTATATCAACTTTCTTTATAATATTCAATTTATCAGTCTTTTCGATTACTTTAGTCTTCTTAATATTGATTTCTATATCTTTATCGGTATTTATAATATCACTATCACTTTCTTTGGCTTTTGTTTGTTTTCTTTTTGGGATATTAGGTTTTATATTGTTTCTATTAATGATCTTAAGTTTTTTGCGGATTCAGTTCGGTTTTTTTTTTGTTCTCTGTCCGCTTTCCTCTTATTTTTTCGTTTATCTTGTTTTGTTTTTCTTTTTCTTTAAAATCGTGAAAATCTCTCCAAGCTTTTGAAGATATGGCACTAGGAAATTATGAATGTTTTTCTTAGTAGTTTTTTTCCCAGATGGACTAATGGGAAATGTTAAATGATTTTTTAAAATGGATCAATTTGCGTATCATTTTGGAGAGTACACGAAGTGTTTACTAAAATTTTCTTTATTACAATTTTACGTCATTACATTTTTGATGGATCGATTTTTTTGGAGACGATGGGTTATTGTGATCTTCAGCTACTGCTATAACTTTTGACGTAAATTCTACAATATTATATTTTGAATAGGTAGCGATTCCTGTGCTAAATAATGCTCTTTATCTCCTTTACAAACGTGGTCTATAATTTGTATAGTATTTAAGTCTTCAAATCTATGTCAGTTATTTTTAAAACAGAAATATCACTGGATTGATACGTAAGATCCAATATTCAGGAATTTAACTATTAGTAAGCAAAGAATAGCCTTCATTATCATTACCTCCTACAGTGATATCTATAAACTCCTCTTTCAATCAAAAATCATTCAAGATCTGAAAACCATTTTCTGATTAAGCTCTCTCTGACCGCCTCTCTGTCTTTATTAATACTTTCAGGTTCACGTACGCTAATCTCCGGATGCCTTCTAAGAAAATTTTGGTACCATGTCTGTCCCGGTCGCCCTTCTGGAAACTTATTTTCTTTTCCAATATTTTTAATTATTTTTGCAACATTTTCCAGCAATACCTCTTTGCTCACAGGAATCCCACATTTGGCTAATTCTGTAATCCAGTCTACAACTTTTTGCTCACCATCAATGCCTAGTATAGGCTCTGGACCTACTTTTCGAGGTTGTTCTTTAGATCTGCCGGAAATTCGATCTTGAACTGTTGAGCGAGGGACACCATAGTGACGGCAGGCCTCTCTGACGCTTTTATTTTCTGTTCTTATGGCCTGGACAGCTTGTGCCAATGCTTCTTCAGTATATTGGAAATGAATCCTCTTATTTTTAATAGTATGTTTAAGTTTATTTCTCCCAGGAGGCATCTAAAAGTAAAAGTAACATTAGTATTACTACAATATGGCTTACACGCGATTTTATCAGTGTAAGTCTCCAAAACTATGCTACAGAATTACCTATCAAGGTAATAAAAAAATATATAAAAAAATAAAAAAACCCGACTTCATAAAATCTTACTAAAAAGATGAAAACAAGTTGACAAAGGAATATAGTATTATGCAGTCGGAGACATAAACATATACATATCGCGACAAGATGAAAACGTGTATGTCTACGACTACATAATACTATATTCATTCGTCAACTTGTTTTATCTTTTTAGTTAGCTTATATGCAATCGGGTTTTTTATTTTTTGTTCTTTCAAATAGGTCTGAAAACTAACTGTATGTTAACTAATTTTCGGCCACCTGCTTTATTACTGGCCGTAAACTAAGTTTTTATGAACTGATTTATCGGCCCCCCTTTATACGTGGCCGATAACCAAATTTAAATTAATTAATTTTCGGCCGTCTTATTGCTAGTGGTCGAAAACTCACTTTGATGTACTTGTTTTCGGCCGTTGTTTAACTCGTAAATGTTTGCGACTGACCAATAAGACGGGTCTTGGGGAAGTCATTTTATGTCTGTATTGTTTGTCTGACTGGCGATTTTTATTCAATTATTTCATTTATTGTCATTTACTGTCGAAATTTTTTTCTGGCCGAGCATCGGTAAACATATTATTAGTTTTCGTCCATACCCATTATACCTAGGCCGAAAAGTAATTATAACAACTCTAATTTTCGGCTGCCAAATACAAAATAACAAAAAAATATTTTTCACCAAATATTAACTCATAACATGCGGCCGAAATCTGACTACATAAATGAGGGAAGCTTATATTCTGTTTTAAAAAAATTTTTTTAAACGTATTCCTCAAATATTAATAATAATATATCTATTTGTATTTTACAAAAGCTATCTTTTAGTTTTCGGCATGCCGGGCGAAAAGCAGATGGCCCCCCAAAACCTTATCTAGTTACCCGACCATCAAATTTAAATATATAAAACCTTATCTTTCATCCATTTTAATCAAAATAACACAAATTCAAATAATCACCAATTCAGAGTAATAACAATTATCTTTATCAAACCTTAAACAATTTAGTAACTTACCTTGCAAAATTTTCTTACGCCCTATTTTTTTTGTTATTATTATGACACACGTGCACTACTCGACTTTCGGAGGCCCACTGACGAGACAGTTGGATCATTATAATGCAACAAAGTTCAGAAGGCGTAGGTTTGATTGGAAAAAATATATTTGACGTTGATTTTTAAATGAGGAGAGTAATGATTTCTTATTATCATCATAAAACTACGTCTTGGCCGAAAACCAGAGGTGGCCGGCAAACCGGCTAAGCTACCCTACATTGATATAGGCTTATAGGAGCCAGGAGTAAATTTTTGGTGATGACCGCCCACGATCGTGTGTGATAAAATGTTTTATGGTTTAAAACATATATTTCGTCTGGAAGAAAAGTGAGGGGTCCACCACATAGATCGGGATCTTAGACTAGTAGGTTAATAAAAAGCGTATTCTCCATTTTTTCATAAAAATGTTTATTATCTTTACACTTCGTATAATTGCACAAAACGACTTAGGTCCTTAAATATATAGATGTTAAAATTCACACTCTGTACGAACTAACACCTCTATCCACAAAACCATTGGATTATAATAGATGTTTCGACAAATTAATTATCAATTCCTATAAGTAACTTTATTTGAAACAATACCGCGTACTTAGTTCTGTTGACCTTTGATTATTTCTTTAAAGCCATTAATATATTAAGTTAAATATTTCCTTCTAATCCCAGTCTTAATTAGATGACTATAACCAATTCCATTATTTAATTAAAATTTAAAATAATTAGTACAAAAATGATGTGTGCTCGTTAATTTAACAATTTAAACATATTTTATAATCTTAGTATACAGTTAAGTTTTTACATTTACTAGAAGATCCATACTCCAGTCTGCTTTTTGAGACAAATGTAACTATTTGCCTACTTTGGCACTAAATTACCTTAACAACATAATTAACAAACACTTCAGTCGTTTGATTAAATAAACAGTTAGATTTATCAAAATCATCTAATTTATCTACAATTGATTACCCAAGTTTATGTTAAAAAATTTCAAATACCAAAGTAATACAATATCTAAATAATGAAGTCTTAATTAAACCACTTACTACATTGGAGTTGTTCTTTCTGGTTCCTTTTCCTCTTTCAGAGTATAAACAGACCGACGTATCGCACCACCCTCAAACCTCGAATTAGGTAAATGATGCAATACTTCGGGTAATGTCTCAACTTCAGAATGAATAATCGATTCTTCCGTAAAGTTACCACTTTCGTCTCGTCAAGATCTTTGCAAAAACTCAGGTGTCAGAATCTTTTGAGTATTTTTCAGCACTTTCTCATGGTGCCTTAAACGATGAACTATTTCATCGTGGAGGACGTTGAAACACATTGCGGTTAGAGCCAACCCAGTCATAATGTAAATAGAGCAAAACCAAATAGTGCCAGTTGATGCTCCATTTTTTTGAGTCAAACCAGGCGCTAAGTGTCCAAATCCAATGGTACTTAGACTCATAAAGCAAAAATATACACCGTCAATTGGACTCCAACCTTCCAATTGATATAAAACGAGCGCTCCAAAGAAAATATAAGTAAAGATTGCGGCCAAACACAAAGATATCGGAGCGAGTATCGAAAAACCACGTAAGGAAACTTTCGAATCTGTATCTGCACAGCTCATCGAGTCACAGTCACGTAGAAAGTTAAGTCCTTGTGTTTTATCTTTTATAGAGTTGTTGCTGAGGCTATTGGCTTGAGATGCCGATATAATAGTACCAGATGGAGATCGTACATAATAAGGTTCTTGTAAATGTAGTGTTTGGGATCTATAGTCATCGTGACGTCTTACTTTTTCTTTCCTTTCTTTCACTGCCATTGTTCTTTCATCGAGACAACAATATCCACACTTGGAACATAAACAGCAGCATAATGCTCGACTAAAGATACTGCGCGCAAGTCTCGATAGTAGTGCTCCTACTACGGACAAATACAATAAAGTAAGGGGTATACCTATAACGGCATATCCTATTGTTACCGCTTTACCTAGAGATGTCTTGGGTGCTACGCTGCCGTAACCTGCGAACAATGGTATTATATTAAGTATTTAAATAAATTTGCTAATATTTAAAAAAAGGTGCATTTTATATTATTTTATTTATTTTACTTTCACGATTTAAATGATCAATTTTGAAACGAAATATGTTAGTTTAAAAATTATGTAATATACAATTAATATGAACTTCGTTGTATGTTAAGAATTTTAAACATTTACCTATAGTTGTGAGAACTGTCAGGGAGTAAAGAAATGCTTTTGCGAAATTCCATTCATAATCATCAGCAGCCAGAGCCGGTGCTGACTCCAAAGCTCTGACACCTCCATATTGCTCTGACACATCAGCAGCGACTCTTGCAACCAGTTTCTCTTGAAATTTAGCAATTTCTTGTGCAGCAAGTCTTGTCCAGTTCTCCTTGTAAAGTATATTCAAAGAAACTGTTATTTCCCAAATACTTTCTACTGTTTGTGATCTTAGTTCAGCGCTGGCTTGCGCGATACTGCTGTTGACTTTTGACAGTGCGTTAGATTTTCTATTTTCATTCGCATGAAAAGAAGTCGTTGCGAGTGTTTTCTGGTGTACTTTGGCGGCACTGCCTTCAATTGCGAGGAATATAAAAGCACCTACCAAGGTGTACACTAGAAGTATAACGAAAATTCCTAAATTAGTTACACATCCAGCTATCAAACTCTTCTTCTTACTTTTTTTTGTTTGTATGCAAAGACAACAAGTTGTGATAACATCGTCATAATTTTCTCCTTTACCATTTTTCTTGTATTTTCCATTTATACTATTCTTTTTCTTATTCTTATCCATATTTGATTTCATAAAATAGCGCGTTGGCACATTTTTAATGTTTCTTAAACAACCGAGTCAATTTGTGTGAATAAATTCATTTGAATGTCCATTCATCTGAAAGAAAAAGAATATGTTAATTCGAATGTATATAAAGAAAAAAGCACGATGTATAAAAATATAGCATCCCGTCTTACTCTGAAATGAAAAGGGTATTGAGGAATATTTGCTAGAACGACTCGATTTATATTTAAATGGAATCAGTGATCTTGGGTTGATTATTATTCCAGTATTACCGATTCCCGAAACCTGTCCATATAGAGAATATTATCTGAAATCCAGCGATGGGATATATAAAGTAGCTTGACTAGTAAAAGGCGTGTCGAAGAATCAAAAGGGAAAGGAAATTCTAAGAATATACTGTCAATATGTGCATATACCGTTACGTTCAAGGAAACATCTACACCATAAACCCCCAATTCACTGTGTTGCTCGTTTATGGGCTTTTTTTAATAAAATATATGTAAATACGTTTAATTTGTTTTTTATCCTTTAATGAATCCATTTATAATTCGAATAATTTACTGAAAATAAGAAAAGGCCGCTGGAAACTTAAATTAATGTAAGATAACAAACTTTTAGTTTCATATTCAATCAGGTAGAGAGAGAGAGAGAGAGAGAGAGTATAGTATTATATAGACAACGTCACTTTTTTTGCTTTCTGCCAGCGGCATCGCTTAACATATTTTTATGTTAGGTTTATTTTTATGCAATTTTAAAAGTATTAAGGTCTGGCTAGCTAAAGCTAAACCTTTAGGAGCAGAGTAATTAGCATAACAGTCTACCGTATATAACCGAGTTTTAAACAAAAACTTATTAGTTGATAATTAGTGTATATTATTCATAAATGCACTGAATATTACTTAGATATCCTAAGTTGTTACTTGACTTGCATTAGACTAACATTATGTAAAACGTTCTTTGTTCATAGCAGCCTTCACGGTACATTAGTCTAAGTTCCGTTGATTACAAAACTTAATGTTGGAACTTGGAGCAGTGGAAAATGATCACCTAAGATATGTTTTAGTGCAAAATAAAAACACCACGTGAGCAAAGTAATATTGTGACCGTATTAGTGTATGAGTTAATGTGTATTCGTTATATTTTTTCGATGCTGTAAAGACTCAACTGATCAGAGTGAAATTCGTAACACAGATTGATTATACAATGAATTTATACTTAGGGGACTTCTTATCGACATACCTTTCATACGAGGAAAGCCACGGGCAAGACCTAGTTGTTAAATATTTTTCACGTGTTACTTTCTCTGTTATGGTATAATTATTATAATTACTTTATTTATTATTGAAGTGAAACTTCTTTAGGATCGTTGTGACTTTAAACTCGATGAAACGAAAATGCGACACTAAAAAGAGATAAACACATAAATATATAGGATTAAGCCGGCGAGAGAATGAGATAGAATATATGGCCATGTTGCTACGGTAATCGTTGTTATTGTCTCACAAATATATAATGTTATATTCTTTCCATATGTGATATTCTATAAATATATGATTGTAATATGCCTTATTTAATTATTCATTGTTGATTGGCGTTACTTTTTGTGTATAGATAGTTGGAAGGCTGGAGAGTGACAAAGGCTAATTTTTACCTCGGGAAATTATCTATTTTCCATGGGAAAACACCTTATAATACAATCCAAAAAAATATTTATGATCAGAATTACTTGAACCTCGGTACTTGTCGATTAAAAAAATACCTGTACCAAGAGTATAATACATAAAACATCATTTTATTATACAAAATTATAATGAATAGTATATAATATAAAAATGGCAGTGGCAGTCCAGTGCTAACGCGCTCGCTTGGAAAACCGAGTAATTCAAATCCCGGGTCTCGCACCTCTAATATTTTCATGTGCGAATCATTTCTAACATGATTACCACTTGCCTTACGGTGAATGAAAACACTAGACTACATCTCACATAAAAGTAAGTAATTTCACATATTCAATTACTCTCCCAAGATTGTTAGTGGAACAAAGTTGTGAAACAACGGCTGAGATCACGCCTTTTCGCCTGTTTTTGTTACTGTATAAGTTTGGAACTAATAGACATTCCAGTTGAGATTGTAGACGGTTTCAGTTTGTTAGCTCTAACTTGTGCTACAGTTTTTATCAACTATACCGCAGTAGAGTATTCAGTTCTCGTATAATATGTCTTTATGAATTGAAATAAGTTTGAAGCTATATTTCCGAATTAAAACGATTATTTTTATTGTAATTATATTGGACAACCAATTTCAAGTTACAGATATGTAAAGTAGATAGATACATTTATTTCTTAACATAAAAATTTTAGCACTTCTAACTTCTTGACATAAAAGCTTTTCGTTTTTATTGACCAATTAGCGAAAGTAGCTAAATAGCTAAATTTTGTAACTTGTAGAGTGATAGCAATAAGATAATGATGGATGAGGATATTAAAAAAAATAAGAAAGACTTACTTATTTTGAAACCACCATACAAATTATTAGGTGTTCCCTTGAAATATACCATAATATTATATTATGTAGGACTATGTTTAAAGATGAAGTAGTTTACCTATCCATAAGAATCTAAATCATGAGAATCGGTCGGTTCACAATAAGCGAAAACATCGCATAAAATACACGAAAATATGCATCCGATTGTATAACCTACTCTTCTTTAAAGTTGGTAAAGACCACGTTCATGTTTTATAACAGAATACCTAAAACATAGATACATTCGAGTACAAGCAAAACAAAAAGCAATTACTAGCAAAGAATAAAAATGTTAAAGCTTTTACATTACTATTCTTGCAATGAGATGTAATATCTCCATTTCATATTACTTTTGACAATAACAATATTAATAATAATTTATAAACACATTGCGGCTGTAGAAATATTAGCTTCGAATGTGTTTAATTTATAAAGAAAATTAAAAAAAACACACATTTATACATTTCAATAATTCATTCATTTTGAAAATTCTTTGTTGTGAATGAAACAATTACTTACTATTAGGTACTTACATATCTTCTCTGCAGTAATTTCAAAGTTAATTCTCTTAGACAGCAAAAAAGCTCTAGATATATAACATTTAACCCGATTTAATCTCAAATTCGATTTTGAGATTAAATCAGGAGATTCAGTTAGATGCTTGATAGCCTCTGACTTGGAACATTGTAAGCTAGTTCATTTAAATTTGGTGCATCGGGTGCATTTGAATATTATTCATACACTAGATCTTCATACCATTATATTCGAACGTGTTTGAAGTTGCAATAACACTGTGATCGTTATGATCGAACTTAGTTTGTCCAAGATGGCGGCTGGTTTCTGAAACTAACTGGTTAGCGTGCCTGATCGTGTAACTTTGAATGACTTGAAAACGGAGAGTATACTTCAACGTGAGTGTCTATTGCCACTTCTATTAGCTAATTGATAAGGGAGAATAAAAAAAATATTCTCTATTTTATAACACGCAGTGAACGTTCATGTGAAACGTCGAAAAGAGATTGCCTACAAAGCATAGAGTAATCACTGGTTAAGTAAAGTAGTAGCTTTTTGTTAGCGAATGAATTTTAACAATCCATTAAGTGGTCCTAGGGATTTTTTTTACATACATACTTAGGAACAATACCATCTTTTATAAGAAATTTATTTATTTACATGAAAAATTGTTATTAATTAAAAAAATGTCAATTCAAAAAGCGGTTTTTCGATTTTTGTCGCAGAAGACAAAGCTTAGTAGTCTATTTATTAGTATAAGTTACATATAATAACTGCCTCGGCGGTGGAGTAGCTAACATATACTAGTGCACATCCGAAGGTTCTAAGTTTGAGTCCCAGATCGGGCCAGGTCGTGTAGTACCAGCCCGGAGTTGGAAAAAACGATGTTTCACCCATGCCTCGTAGAGCACGTAATGCCGTCCGAGTCGATTATCGTCAAATTGGAATTGGAGAGTAAAGGAATCGGAAAGGAATTGAGAGTGATCTGATGACTGCGCGTAGACTTATGCACTATAATATTATCTCCTGCGCAGTTGACTATCTCATTGAGATTGATCTCAGTGAGATTGGTTGTTGTGCCGAAATCACTCAGGAGGATATCAATAAGTGATATTAAACAATAAACCTTATCTACCTAACTAAAACCTTGCACAAAAACAAGTTATACAAAATTCCACCCTTTGTAATTTACTTAATTAACTTTTAACCCATTTCAGATCATAATTTCTTCAAACTGTCAACATTTAACCCACATTAACATACGCAATGAAATGAATTCGAATAACACCTACCCACTAAAATTTTATTATCAATTTCTCAATTTATGTCTACGAATCTCGCTTAGAATCCGTTCGAGCGCACGCAGGGTAATGAAATAAGTCATTTAAATTGGAGTAGAGATTTCAATAGGACATTAGGCGTGGGGAGGCTAAAACTCTGTAATATTGGATTATATCATTGATTTATGCAAAATCTTTATCGGTAGTGACACCTGAAATTGGATTTTGGTGTCGTCGCATTGCTTTAGGTAAAAGGGGCGGAAAGATTTCCCGGTCTGGCCTTTTTTTTATAATTTATTTTCGAAAGGGCAGAACGATTCAATATGACATTCGTATTACTTTTGATATAAATGAATTTGGTGTTATGAGTACCATTTTCTAGTATTGGTATTAAAGTAAATGACTATTATTTACACTAGAAAACCGTTCATCTAGGCAAAGAAGCAACGTATAGAACTTTGGCATCTTTGAAAATTAGAGTAAATTTACGAACTAGAAGTTAAGAACACTTCCGGAATAAAACTGAAGTGGTTATTTTACTTTTGTAACTGTTCGACATTGCCAATTAAGGTTCTTAAGTGAATTACATAATAACTTTTCTAGTTATTCAATAATCTTTTGGTTTGTTGGCGTTAATAACTATACTACTGTCTTGAATTATAAAGAAAGGAATTTCTAAGC